ACACATGTAGTTGACACTATGAATATTTCAAACACGAAAAACATAATTTGTGAAATATCTGAGTCTTAAAGCTCTGCATCCGTTCGCCTCACAGGTGAAAATTTGACGGTAAAAGATAACAATAAAAAATGGGCATGCGATATATTCCGAAAGTATGTAATAAGAATTTGTGAAAGAAATTTGAAAATGTGATTTTTTCACGCACGATTATATCTACCTAGGATAAAGTAACCGCATACGTATAGAACTATCTGTGATAAACAGATAATATATGAGAACAGTATGGATAGAAGTTTATACTATATACAATCACGGGTGACCGATTTTTGTGATAGGGTGTCCAAAATGAACAGAGAAAACCGAAGTGACTAAACGATAGAGAATTTTGCGTAGATTCAGAATCTGTTATCATTTCTGTTTTATTACCGAGTGTGATAGCCTAAAAATCGATTATGCGTTTTCTGCGTTTCGCGTTTCGTTTTATATTGCAATATAAACATATATACTGCGGTAAACTCATAATAATATCATTAATCCGATTAAAAGTAAATGAACAAAAAATATAAAAAATGAATAATGACAAAATAATGGTATGAAAAAGTAATATAGTATATGAAATTAATAAATCGATTAACCACTCCTTCCCAAACCTCTATTTTCCCAAGCGCGGAACCAGCGAGCCTTATATTGCAGTTCGCGATTGTTTGTGTGCATGCGTGCAAGAAATCATCCAAAAACCTATAATGTTCCCGGGGGGGGGAACCCATTTTGAATTTTCCATATTCTTCAATCAGTTTTCCCCATGTGAATGTCATCACATTAGGAACATCATTTTCCCCATTGTTATCAAACCCTTGGGAACGTTTTTCTCTCAGAGATGGATGTGTTTGCGTTCGTCCATCCGTCCGTGCGTGAGCCCAAATACGAGTAGTAGAGCGACTTTGAAGACGAACAATGCATCGTTCTGTTGCTTGTGAAATTCTACACTAAAGATGTGGAGATTTGTCTCTGGTGCAGAACAGTCTAAACTAGATCAGTAGGTTAAGACTCTGACCTACCATCCAAAGCACCCAGGATCAAATCCCACAGTTGATGCTATAATTCCAGCAAGCTCTGCCCCTTCTACCCAATACCCAGTCATTACTTGTTCCTTCGTTCGATCCAACAATTCCTTACTCTCAGAATTATGATGTTTAGGAAGATAAAACACCGACGGCTGAGCATTGGTCCGGATGAAACCCGTCATTTGCCTACGAGGAACACCAATACAACAACAACAACAACAACAACAACAACAACAACAACAACAACAACAACAAGGAGAAGGAGAAGACGAAGAAGCAGTCGGAAAACCAGAAAAATATTAAACTTACTTGTAGTGGGATTGTAGACGAATCTTGAGCAATTCGATTTTCTTAACTTCCATTTCTCTCAAAACTTGCTCCTGAAATAACCATTTTTCAAATACAAATGCGATATTAAATAATTATGAAATTCTGCTTATTTTTTTCCAGAAATTTTCCAAAATTTCCCCCTCGTTCATACCAGTAGTTCGCAATCATCATCGAATAATGATCGAGGGCGACATAATTTTTTTAATGCAAAATTTCCGATTTTTCCTTTCGTACGCACTAGCAATTCACACCTTGCTCCCGAGATTATAAATATTCCGAATACAAATCCGATATTCAATATCCATACAAATTCCGCCGATTTTTTCCGGAAAAAAATCCAAATTTTCCGCCTCGTTCGTACCAGTAGTTCGCAATCATCATCAATTCGATTATTCTACCCGATAATGGATAATCATAAAAGCCGACATATTTTTTCCTGAAAATTTTCCCGATTTTTTCTCTCGTTCGTGCCAAAGTTCATAATATCGCTCCCGAGATCATCACTGGTTCAAAAACAAATCAGATTTTCAATGGTCATAAAATTCCGCACATTTTTCCAATAATTTTCCAAATTTTTCTTTCGTTCATACCAGTACTTCCTCCCGAGACCATCGCGTTTCCAATACGAAAATAA